CATCGAGTCCCATGTGTTTTCATTAGTACTGTAATCAACTTTCATCAGCGCAACCTTTCAACTGTAGCAAAATAGAAACAGAACAAATAAGAGCTTTTTGGAATATGTTTATACCAAAATGTGGTAAGTGGACTTAAATAATTGAATTTTTATTATTTTTTTTTTTTTTAAATGCAAAGGTGCACAAGAGCCTGATTTGAAAATGTAATCTAGTCTCGAGCTCCATGATGTTTACTGGCAATTACTGTGAATTAACTGCCGCATTCAGGAGCTAGTCCAGGCCCCCTGCTGACAGTCGACTGACAGACGAAATATTCACTTTGTGTCTGCAGACAATCTCCTCAACCTTGTTCCAATGTCGTCTGGGGACAGCAAAGTGTGGGCTGTGCCTGATCTCAGTCGAGACCCGGGCCAGCTTGCTCTGATGATTTGTGAAGTTAATGCCATTTTCTTTGATGTCTCTTTAAACACCCCAGCTTGACATCGCGGAAATAATGGGTAGCAGGAAACTGGGAGGACAGAACTTACTAAAGATGTCCCTTTTGATTGTGGCATTAACAAAAAACTGATGAGCTGAAGGTGAAAGCGGCATAAAAGCATTAAACGTCTTGCATGCAGTTATATATTTGACAGTAACCGATATATATGGTTTTCTCTATTTACTATTTGAGCCTAAGGCTGGAGTAATTTACTCCATAATTTCTCAGATGCCACAAACATTCTCTTGGAGATGAAATCAAGTTATCCATTAATATATACTAAATTGAGCTGGGGCCACGCTTAGTCCCAAATGTTCTTTACACTGGTTTTTCAGCGTGGTGTAATAATCCCTATGTTTTTTTGGGGAAAAAAGAAAAAACAGAAGCATCGTGGCTATCAGATCATTGGATAATTAGAAAACCGTCTTCACAGGGAGAACGGTAATGCAGATAAATTATGGCAAATTGCTGACAAAATAAATAAAAAATAAAATCCAAAAAGAATTTTTGGGAGAGCAAACTCTTTGAGTTAACATGTTTCAATGGCACAATGACGAGTGTAATGTTAAATGCGTCATATTTAGCATATCTGTGGTGTTTCATTATAATAAAAACAAAAATGTTTCAATTACTAATTTAGCAATGGTGTGCAGTTTGATGCATAGCCGTTTAGAAAGCACACAAAATAGTGTTTTATTCTCAGTTCAAATGCAAAGTGAAACTTTTTCAGATGTTTTACTGAAAATGTTTTTCATCCTTGTTGAAAAACATGGGTAGAAAACAGTTTTTTATACTTTGAAACCAAACTAATTTTTTTTCCAGTTTGGTCAAGAAAAGGCACCATAGTGGACAAACTGATGGCTTCTGCTGACCTGCAGAGTCAGAAGGTTAAAAAAAAAAACTGAGCAGTTATAAGGTGAACGCAACGCGCCGACTCGGGACAAAAACAAAGAGGCAATGACTGTTTACCGAAGTCCATTTGTGCGGACGTAGAGCAAACTGCCCCACTCACAGGTCGGTGCAACTTGACAAGGTTTGATTAATCACTGTGTGAAACCTGATCGAGAACAGGAGTGACTAATGACCGGCGTGTGGCTGCTGATTTAATCAATCAACAACAACAAAAAAAAAAAAGGTTTTAACCTTGCCAATACTAGGATGAAACAGCACACACACACACACACACACACACACACACACACACACACACACTTCAATCCTCCAGACAAGACGATGAAATGTTGTGTTTCTCTACAAGCTGCTTGGACAGATTCATGTGACGTTCCTACAAGGTGGACAAAGAGCAGAAACCATCTGTGAAAGCAGGAGAGAGAGAGAGAGAAAAAAAAAAGATTAAATGCAATACAAAAATGTAGGCAAGTAATCCACTTTCCTCACCACTTCAAGCTTTTATTTCATAAGAAATGATTTACCACACAATTTGTTACACTCCTCCATATGTATAAGAGAGAAGACCAGAATTTCTTTTTCCCCTCTCCCACAGCAGTCCATTAGCACTTATACAATAACACCTAGAAAGAGATGGGAGCCATTTTGCTGCATCTAATGAGAAAAAATGTGAGCAGAAAGCAAATCTGCTGGAGTACTTAACGGTCACTATTTGCATTTTTCATATTTGAATAGTTTCAAGTTCGATACCAAGTAACAGCAAAAGCCTGAGCATCCTATTCGCCTCCCCCACGTCTCTGTAGTCACACTGAAAATAAAGTACAAATTAGTGATCACACTAGCCGACAGCAGATAGAGAAATGGATGTTATGGAAACAAAAAATCGCACACATCTTCAAATGCAGCTGATTTCAGTAATAAAGAGAGGAGTTTTAGTTCTAAAACTGGTCTACTCGTCTTTAAAGAAGAGCCCAAGAGCTTTCCACTCGAGGTGGAAGGTCATTGATGAAAGTAAATGTTACATTATGGGATGAGCTATAGTGGGGACACAGCAAACATGTAGACAATAAGGTTCAAGTCAAATTAATTTGCAACTATCCTGTTGTAAGTCATCCTAAATTACAACGGAATAGTTTAGATAAAAAATATTCATGTGAATCCAGCTCTAAATTTGCGGCAAAACTTTAAAAAAAATAAAATAATTCCACAGACGGTCTTCATTACATTCGACCGAGTTAAATCTGTTTTATGGAGCAAAGTGGGCACAATTCCAAGTATCTAAATGTGAAAAGCCAAGTCGAGTCTCGTCATAAATGACTTGCAGCTGTAGCTGCAGTGAAAGGTGGTCTTTGCTAAGCATTTCCTCGAGGGGCCTGAATACAAATACATTCTTCATAATCGTATTTAGAAACATTTCAACTTCACTTTCACACTCCTTACAGATATTTGCTACTTTGAGTTGCATCATCATGAAGCCGTGAAATACGTCGAAGCTTGTTGTTTACAAAACGGCATTTAAGAGCAGATCTCATGGATACTTATGCAACGCACTGCAATACATCCCACTAATTAAGCAGCAAGGTTTATCCATGTGAGAGTAAGACTATAGGTTTAGCATTTTAAAACAACTGGTTGCTATGCTGCTGCAAAACTGAATTTGTCGGGTTCTTTACCGTTTTATATTTAAAGTAAAAACAGTTGTTTGAAGCCAAGAATGCCATTAGGGGGATTCGGTGATCGGCTCTTCCACTGCTTGGCTAGTAGTTTATCTCATTTTAAAGCACAGCTTCATTGTTTATGTAGCAGGTTTAGGAAATTGTTCAGTTCAGACCTTTCTGTGTGCATCCTCCCAGACTCTGGCTGGATCTGAGAAGAATGCTTACAAGATTTTTGTGACCCTAAAAGTCTATAAAATTTATTGTGGTGAGGTCATTCAGGCAGAGGCTGTGTGGGGGGGACACACACAACTTATGTTTACATTAAAATTTCCATAATTAAAGTCTCTAAAACATTCCTGGTCTTCATGCTACAGAACCTGTAAGACACTGATATCTGTTTATAAGACCATAAAACCAAACTACCTCTTAAAGAAGCCACAAAGATTCAGTGCTGCTTACTTTAGTTATTGGCTCTGCAATAAACAGATTCAGGGAAATGTGTGTGGAAGCTGGAAAGTACATGGATTGACGTCTTTGTATTTCCTTAACCACTAAACACTTGAAGTAAATGTTGCACATAAGAACTGCTGACAATATTTCGCAGGAAGTGAATTCTAAGTTATCGTCCGAGTACAGAGGAGCTTCATGGGGAAACTAGTTATGTTGTGTACAGTTACATAGTTAACAGATTCAAAAACACACTGGTGGAGGGTCGGTTTTATATTTTATTCCAAAAACTTTCAAAATAAGCTTCAAGTTCAAGAAAGTAGAATAAGCTTAGACACAATGCAAAGCATCATATACAGACGGATAAAATACATTTTATATATTGCAGACAAGCCATGGTGGGTCTTACATATGTACAGTATGTATGTAAACTTTTATATACACTTTTTTACAATTACAAAAAGCCTTTTTTCTATTTTTCTTTGTATATATTTATATTATATATATATATATTTATGTATAGATTTTTTTTATATATTCCCCACTAGCATTTGTACTACAATAATGTAAAAGAAAATCATTTACATACATGTAAATCCATTTTCTCTTTTTATATTACAAATGTATTTCCATAAAAATATATCTCTGTACAAAAAAGTTATATATATATATATATTTTTTTTATTATTTGTTAACATATTTTTCTTAGAGACACTTTCCCTCCGTTGCTCCGTTGATACACAGTCTGCTTAAGTTCATGTTTGTCGGGTTCTTTACAAGTTTCCCTTTTGGTGTGCAGCAAGACAGAATTCTTTGCCCTTCACTTTTTTGTTGTTGTTTTGTTGAGGCATTCAAGAGCCACGTTGATCCCACTTAGGCGCTGTGAGTTTACAAGTTTAGTTTCAGAAAGAAGCCGGATGAAGAGGGCAACTTGTAAACAAAGCGAAACAAAAATAAAATTGATAAAAAGACAAAAAAAAAAAAAAGACGGGACCTCTTACTTCTTTGAACAACAAACAGGAATGTTAGGTTTGCGGTTACAAAAAATGTATCTTTTTTTTTCATGTTTTGCTTAAGAATTCACTTCCTACATCTTTCTTCTTCAAAGATTGAAACATGATTCCAAACATTAAACACAGCATACCATACAAAGTGGACACACTCTGATAAAAATGAAATACATTCATCAGTGGATGAGTGGGAACTCAAGAGATCACAGAAATAATCAAACTCCACTTTTTTTTTTCAAAATTAAACTCAATGTCAGTCTTATCCACAACCCATTCTTTACTGCTACTTACAAGTACAAGAAATTATGATCTAGTCAAAAAGATATTTCTTTCGGTAATTCATAAAACAATATTAAGCCTGTTCAGATTCATTACACAGATTGTAATGAACTGCATTTACCTCCAATAATTGTGATGTTCTAGACTTGCAGCGAAAACAATCGCTTTCTCTGAAATTTGTCACATAAAAAAAATGTTTCTTATGTGACGATTTAAAAAAAAAATGCACGTTTTGACCTACACAATCATGGGAAAGGCTGCTGACTTGGCAGATGTCCAGCAGAAACTCAGTGACACTCACCACAAGGATTGCAAAGATGCTGTTTTAGAGTGCCGTATCCACGCATTTCATCGGAAAGTTAAGTGGATGGAAAACATCTGTCAGAAAAGGGCGCGCACGCAGCAGGGAAAGCTGCAGTCTTGGAGTGGACTGTGGACTCTTGAAGTCCATTCAAGTTTGTGGGAGATTCACAAGCCTTGGACATTACACCTCCGCAACATTTATTCCAGGAGGCCAGGTTAATTCTTAAATGAATTCACGTTTAAGTAGGTCAACGTTTCGGCAATATTTGAATGTCCTAAAAAAAAAACCCTAAATGTTTGGTTTTAATGTACCGTAAGCCATAATCATCACAATTAAATAAATGCTTGCAATACACGACTGAGTGCAATGAATCCATATATTGAATGTATGAAGTCTAGCTTTTGAACCGAATTAAGAAAATAAGCAAACATTTCAAAGATTTTTCATTTCACCGAAATGAACTTGGGTTTTCACTGAAGGCTAAAGGCAAGCTGCTGAGCTTTTGGATTCATCAATATGGGATGACAGTGAAAGATGGGAGATTATAAATGATAGCTGCTGCAGAAAGTGTCACTCAGCATAACTGATGGATTGCTTGTTTTTATCCCCCCCACTACATGCAGAGTGTGGCCTGTGCTGGAAAGTCGGTGCTCTCGCTACAGAGGGAGAAGTGGGAGGCTTTTGGTCTGGTCCCTGACTGAGAGGAAACTCGGTGAACTCAAAAGACCATAGCTGTGGCGCGTTACATTATGGAGGAGATGGTGAGCAGGAGGGGGGGGAACTCAGAGCTGTGTGGGGCTGATAACAAAAAATGAGCCAGAATGAACAGAGTTAGTGATTTAAAATATGCAAAAAAAAAAAAAAGGAAGAAAAAGAAGAAGCAGCAGCACAAATTCGCCAGCTGCTATCAAGGAGGGCTCAGTTCTAACTGTTGCAGCACCGCTCAATCTGACATCCACTGATCTCCATTTTCATAGGACTGTGACGCAGTGAGCAGGTTTTGGGCTAAGGGAAACACCTCCACAGATTTGAATATTAAGTCAAAATGAAGATTTGTCCATATTTACCCGTATATTGTTTCAAGAAATTTAGTTTTTAATAACTACTTTATTTTTTTTAATCTTTTTAATTGGATGACTGGATATTTTTTTACCCTTTGACTAATAAAACAGCCTTTAAACCATCAACGGAAAACGTGGCTTTAAAAATTGACCAACTATTTAGGCAAGTAGACAGATTTGTGGATAATAATCCTCACACACCAAAGTTACAGAGATAATAAAGTGAAATGAATCTCTACTCTGACATCTTCAGAGTTTTTTTTTTTTTTTTTTACCCCCTCTCGGTAAGATCAAAAACTACAGCTCACAATCTCTTCGGTGCTTGAGGAGTTTTTCTGTATCAGTCGGAGCCACTCAGCCAGGGAGATAATCGGGGAGTGACTGAAGGACTCCAGTCTGCAATATCTGAAGATGATAAGTTGACCCCAAAACTGTAGTGAGGACGGTTAAAATTTATTGACCACAAAGAACTGCACAAGCTGAAGAGTGATCATCTGAGTCACGGCAAGGCACTATAATGAACATAAAGTGCTTATTGCAGACTGGAGCAGATAAAAATCATGGAGAGAGTAAAAATTTGGCCATTTTCATGACCATTTTCCTAATTTTCTTAGAATGAGCCCCTCTTATTACAATCGTTCATATGAGATCCTCTTTGGGTCGTATTTGTTGAATCACATGCCTAAACAGATTCGACTTCATGTAGGGAAATTAGCAGTGATAATACAGTTACCTAAATCAGTTCAACCGTTTTAAAGAAATGTGTAAAAAAGTGGCCATTGTAGAGCAAATTGAGGGGAAAGGCTCCCCCCCAAAGAGCCCCAAACAGATATGTAATAAAGCCATAATTTCAGCCGAGATGTTTGAGAGCGGCTTCGGAGCCAAAGTAAACGTAATGCACCATGCAACTGCGGCACGAAACTATGAGAGCTCAGCACGGGGAGTCTTTGGGATTATACGAGTGTAACCGCTCGTCTCTCCGTGAAATCTCCAGGGTAATTCAATCGCTTCCTTTGCTATCGCTCAAACTCCGGAGGAGGAAAACGGCCAAATATTCCACTGGAACGGTCGAGATAAACGAGAGTCTTAAAAGTAATGAAATTGTCAAAGCAATTACTGAAGCACGGTGAAAATGACTGAGGGAACAATGCAATGATTGGTTTCAAGAGACTTGATTTCTAGGTAAAAAAAAAAAAAAAAAAGCAGTCTGTGTGATTTTTTTTTTGTTTTTTTTTTTAATTTTCCTTATTTGTAACAATGCCCAGGAAAAAAAAAAAGAAAAGAATCGGTGTAGATGTTTCATTCTGCTTTTTAGGTGCTTTGATACCCTATTCTGAAAATAAATATGTGGTCAAGAATTTTACCAGTTTAATGGTTTCTGAGTTGGAACGCAAAATTAGAAGGAAGCAATCTTCCTTGAAGGAAATTCAACCAATATTCACCCCACTGACCATCATCAGGTCTAACAGGTCTATATAAAACTCCTCTGGTCAGACTGGAACACACAAAGCAGATTCCCACAGATATATTTGATGACATTTCTGCTGTGTGTTGCACTAAAAAAAAAAAAAAAAACAAACAAACTATATTTTCTGTAATTTTCTCCCCCAGCAGTGCCAGATAAGGAGTGTTAGCATTAAAGGCATAAACTATTTTTTCCCCTATATCACATTTATCATTTCCAATTTAATGCACGGCAGTAATCAGTATGCCAGCGACTCCCCCGCTGTCACAGCCTCCAGGCACGCAGCCTTCAACGTCTTTATGATGAGCAGAAAACAAAACAATTGAAACACTCTTCTTCTTTCAAAGGATGTTGCCGTCAGAAGTTAACTTGGAGGGAAAAGACCCGAGCGTAAATCCACAGGGAACGCCACGATGACTCATCCGCGCTTCAAACTCTGACGCCTTCATTTGAACATCTTGAACAAATTTCGCATTTTGCTCTTGCTTTTCCAAAGGCCAGGTGTAAGGAGCTACTATTGGTGGAGGATCTGTAAAGTGTTTTTCACAATTAGTTCGCTCGTCTCTAGTGGAAGATTAAATGTTGCAACAAAATTGTGGAAAAGTGAAGGAATTGCGGATAAACAGCTGGAACCCCCATTTTAGCTGATTTAATCAATTTGATACATCTGCTAGATAAAACACCATCTGAGTGCATATAACCCAGCTAAACTTTTATAAGACAGATTAGAGGGTTTTCTCTACTGATAGACTGGGAGACTTTGTTCTATTCGGGAACAAAACTGCAATATTTATTACATTTTCAGCTGGTGTGGTTCGCTTTCACACTGCACTATGTTAAACGATCCAAGCTCTGAAAAACCTGTTCCCTCCCCCGCCTGTGGAGGCGCTGCCCCTTGAACTACAAAAAAAACAAACAAACAAAAAAAAAAAACACTGAAAAACACACCAAGGGCAACTTCCTCCTTCGCAAAATTTAAACAAAAATGGAGTAGCTTCAGATATTAGCGGTTGTAGGATTTCTTGTTGTTCGTGTTTGGTAAATGACGATGAGCCATTTCTACTTCTAGCGCTAGACACGCTTGTTTTGGTTGTATTCACCCAGAATGCACTGCACTATAGTCCACTGTCTGTTTTTTGGAACGGTCTCCGGTCCGCTTGCGTCCACATATGCATTCAAACTGCGATAGAGTTCACTTCAACCAAACAAACCGAGACCCAGGACCTTAGGCAAACCAGAGTTTGCTGTTTTTACATCGCATTAGATCACACCTCTCCAAACAAAATGGAATTTATAGGCAAATGAAATGGAGTTCAATTAAAGAGAACTACACAAGGCTGGTGGCAATACACCCTATGCTTGTTGCCGATTTCTCAGTCAAACAATTTCTGTGTTGCTATGCTAAAGTTAGGTCAGTAGAGGATACCAGCTGTTCAGATGGCTGTGAGTCCACAGGGTAATTTCCAAACAGAACATGTAAGCATACCACCTTCATGCCTTTGGAGAAACGACAGCCTGTTGAATCATCCAAAAGTTTACTGCCCTCATGGTACAGCAGGCTGACCAATCGTAGCTGATGAAATGGATCAATACAGCCGGCAGCGTGTCGCAGTACAACATTAGTTCAGAATAAAGGAAGTTCTTCAACTCTCAAAGCTCTTGTGCAGTGACATTTGTGAAAGTGTAGCTTTTTGATATCTGCTAATAATGTGCTATATGCAATGGCTATAAAAAAATTTTAAGTTGCCAAAATCAGCCAAATAGGGCTCCCTTTTTACTAGCTCTTAGCTACTTACTGTGCTAATAGTTTCCTCACTTCTGTAAAAACTTACTACAGATAAATGAGCTAATAATGCCAACACATTTTCCCCAGAATTTTGCCTAAAAACTGTCCCTTTATTCATAAACACAAGTAGCGCCAAATTTATGACAGAAAATAATCTGATTCTGATCTTGGCTTTAAAGAAAAAAGGTGGAAGTATTTTTTTATACTTCTGAAATCCACTATTCATAGCAGAATGAGCCATGAGTTGATGCTGCAGCTTCGCCCTGAGATGTGGATGAGAGGGAAAATGAAAGATGTAATGTCCCTAAAAGACTTATGTCCATGGAAATGCATCACACATTCTGTCCCCCATTTGAGAGAGGGATCATCTTTGACTTCTCAAGATAACTTCGGCTTGTTTGACACCTAATGAGTCTTCAGACACAACATTGTAATATAAATGTGTTTGAACCAGGAACAAACTAAAAATAGAAAAGTAAATGCTGCTGCTGACTGAACATTAGATTCTCAGTTCTTTTGTTTCACTCTACCTTCACTTGATGGGTTAGATTTATGCACCGTTGCTTTCTGATCGTTAGCCTTCCGGAAACCAAATGAAATGCTATCAAAACAACAAAAAACATCACGTTTTTGGTTAAAACCACAAATGCGTAGACATCTACGCAACATCTATAGCAGTCACACAGGTGCTCTACTCTCTACTGTTTATTCCAAACACCTAGCAACCTTTTAACCTTTTCTTCAGCCGCAGGAAAAGAAAAATAGGAGGAAAAGCACACAAAATAGTGATAAGAGTATGTTTTCGACATGGAATTGAAAACTACATCTTTAAACCTGCAGCCTTCCCATGGAACCTTATGACAGCCTCAAATAGCAGAGATCTGACAGATAACGGCGTTCCCAATTACTCATCTGAGAAAGCTGGCAGCATAAAACACAAGAAAGAAACGCAGAAAAAACAAACAGTGAAAACAAAATACAAAGTGAAAACGGAACGGATGAATTTCAACAGTTCAGAGAGTTTCTCTTAGCATCATACACACCGACCGACCGACACGTGGCTGCCCACCACACAGTGCACAGAGTTTTTTTTTTGTTGTTTTTTTTTTGTAAGCTACAGGTACATTTTATGACTTACACAAACTTCCCTTTGGGTTTAGGCGAAGAGCGGTGAGAAAAGTCATCACAGCTTTGCCTCCAGCAGTACTCCTACCGGCTGCAGGTTCAGATGGAAGCTTTTTCCTTAGAATATGGAACATGATCAAGAAACCATGTAAAGTTACAGAGAGCCGTTTCACGTTGACCTTTTTGATTAAAAAAAAAAAAAAGGAAAAAAAAGTTGTTGCTCTCGTATTAGTCTCTTTTTTTTTTTTTTCTTGTTTCCTGCAGGTGCGAGGCTCCTCGACTGGAGATGTTACTTGAAGGTATTTCAGCAAATAAAATAATCTTTTTCTCGCCATCTGCACAAGGAATTACAGGTGTCCTCTGCCGGCAGCCAGCGGAGGTTGGGGCGCACCTTTCCTTCCTTCGACTGATTGAATGTTGCAGCGAACAAGATGAGCGTGTAAGAAGATGTTTGTGGTGGAAAATACGGATGAGCGATCAGATAAAAATTTTAAGAAAAAAAAAAAAAAAAAAACCACACAAAATAGAAAAAAGAGAGAAAAAGAAACATAACCAGAATGATGGAGGACAATGAACATGGATGCAACAGAAAACAGATAAGATATCAGTATTAATCTGAAAGCACAGACTACATGCACTGAATATAAACAAACCTCATAATTAGAATATTGTTCTGTGTTTAGAAAAGCGGTGAGTCAAAGTGAAGTCTTCCCGATTCTTACCTCTGAAGGATGGTGTTGCTATACAGCGGTGCACACTGTGCTGACTGTGAACTCTGTCTCGTTGGCCATGATGTCAGTGGGTTGGATGTTGCGGTCGTACATGGGGTTCTCGAATGTAGCCCGACCGTTTGTGTTCTCGTGGCCCACGTAACCGTTGAAGGGAACTTTGGGTCTTCTTCTAAAACACGTTAAAAAAAAAAAAAAAAAAAAAAACATCAGGAGAGTTTTATTCCTTATGAAGCATTAAAACCTCTTTGACATTTTGCTGTTGTGACTTTTAAAATGTGTTTGTATCGGCGCATCCAGAGTGGGAGAGTTACAACTTAACTCTCATTACGTCTTCTCTCTTTCTCACAGTAAAGATCATGTTGATTTACTAATGTGCCTTATTCTACTGATTATAATGACATTAAGTTAATGTACACAGAGCCACGAAAACACGCACATGTGCCGCCTCAGCTAGCATAATAGAAAATGGGACGAAAAATAACTATTTTCTTTGAAAATTGTTCACAAATAAAAATATGGAAAGTATGGCATGCATTTTTATTCAGACTCCTTCAATCAATACTTTGTGGAACAACCTTCCACTGTAATTACATCTTCAAATCTTTTGCAATACATGTGGACCATGCTTTTCATATCTGGAGTTATTTTTTTATTTTTTTGCCAATTCATTTTTAGAAAATTGCTAAAATAATAATAATTCGGTTGGACTCGATCGATGGAACCTTAATTTTCAGGTCTTGATACAAAGAACTTAAATCCACAATTGGATTCCATCCACATGTGTGCTTGTTTCCTCAAGACTTCTTTACTTTTCAACGGGAAAAAAACAAAACAAAAAAGGATTTGTTGAACAGTTGTTTAGTTGACAGATACTCCCAGCTGTGCAGTGGATTTCTGCAGCTCCTCCAGATTTACTATGGGCCTCTTGGCAGCTTCTTTGATTAATGCACTAGTTGTCTGGCCAGAAAATTTTCCCCCCCCCCCCCCCACTATTTTATCCCTGATCCGTCTTCATGTGTTCCTTGGTGTTTTTGATGCTGTTTGCTAACTATTGTTCTCTAACTCACCTTTGAGGCCTCAACAGAACAGCTGGATTTTTAATGAGACTATGTTCAACACAGGAGAACTTTATTTTTTTTAATTAGTTGACTTTTGTAGACAATTAGTTCCAATGGATTTTACTCGTAGATCTCAGAGAAAAAGGGGGTAAATGCAAATACAAGCCAAGTGTTTTATTCATCAAACATTTTGAAAACTGCTGTACGTAGCTTTTTCTTTCCACTTAATCAAGATCCACTTTACAGTTTCAATTTATGGCTGATAATTTGTGGTTTCAGAATGTTCCTTGTTTAACATATGTTAACATGTGTAGTGTGAAGAGCTTTGGGGTTCCCTGGACTTGATAATAGTACAAGTACAAGCCATACACCATTTGGTGGTTTAGATGTAAAGCAGGATGAACCCTCAAAATGTATCCTATATGAAATTGAAATTAGAGATAAAATTAGGGGAAAAAAAAAAGAAAAAAGCATCTCAGTCTTACCTGTGTTTATAGAGATAAAGAGCGAAGCCTGCAATGATCATTGCTATAAAAGGCACTAGAATGGCAGCTGCCACTGAACTGCTGTTGGAGGCAAAGTTGTAGCCAGGGTTGGCTCTACTGGGATCTAAACTCTCTGCAGAAAAAAAAAAACAAGAATACATTTTTACCAAATCAATCCTTTAATAGAACTTATTAAGCAATTTTTCTCATCTTCTACCAAAATTGACTGGTGATATAATAAGCACTTACACATGAAAATAAATTAAAATAACTTTTAGCGGCTGAAGAGTGTTACCAGGAGAACTGCATTTACACGCAATAAACTATGGCAGTAAACCTGATTTATGTACTTTTCTTCATGTTCACTTCTATGTGTTAATTTCATTTCGCCCCTTCCCCGGGGGAAAGTCAAATTCCATTATCCCAACAATGACTTTTAATTACTGGCATCAAAGGCCGGCAGCTATTAACTCATTTCAGATGTGTCATCTAATTTCTAAAGTTGTGTGTCTGCAAAAGCAACAGTGGACGAGTGACAAGCCCACCTGTTCGCCACAGAGTGCCAAAAAGCTCCAATAAAGGGCGGGTGACAAACAAGAAGGAATTGAATTAGGGGGGTTTTGGTGGCGTTTGCCAATCAACCCCCGCTGCATGAGCGCGGGGAAACACACACACAAACAGATGCATAAACACACTCGAGCAGGGAAACTGCTTTCGCCGTCGCGCCGCCACCGAGTTAAAAGAAAGCACAAAGTGTCGTCAAATTAAGCGGGATTACTTCCAAGATGTCTAACCCACCTTCCAGACACACATCTGGTGTTTTTCGTGTACACACCATGCTCATACAGATGAATACCCTGGCATCAGCCCCGGCTGCCTGCAATAATACGGGGCTGTTTGCTTAATACGTGTGCTGCAACAGGGGTCGGGAGGACGCACCTGCTGCTCAGGCAACTTCCTTATTACAGGAGATTCTCACAGCCACTTTCCACAGAGCACACAAACACTTCATCTGTGTTGGCACCGCACACAATCGTGCCACGCACCAACGTACCACTCGTCTCTGCCTATACACATACAAACACGCAACGGGGGTGGACTAGGAATGTATTCTCAAGATCCTTCCATATTGGTATACACAAAAGTCAAATGAATGGATGTCTTTTTAATGTAGAAAGTGTGATGTAATGCAGTTTTGAACAAAACTTTGGGCTTTTTGGAGCAAATGTCATGACTAAGAGCCTTCTTTGCCTTAAAGTTCACTAAGTTTTCCCTCATCAGCAAGAAATGTTTTGAAGCATTTAAATCCCAGCTGGTCTGCAGTTCCCTCCAATAACCAACATACACCCCTATCAACATGCCTCTGGGGTAAATCTGACTGAAAACTTGAACACTCTTCTTGGTATAATTGGTAAAGCCCATTCAAACTGATTTGTGTTTTTGACCAGACTTGATTTGTTTAAGAATAATACATCCATATTCAATAGACTTGAAGAAAGTGCTGTTCCAGAAGCATAATACCTGCCTGCCTTGTTTTGCAGGAACACCAAATGTAAACATAAGACCCAGAAATGGAAAGACCATTGGTTAGGATGTTAGAAAACGCCCAGGAATCACCACAATGCTAAATCCTATCATGAACTGGGATTTGTTAGAAACTACATATCCACAGTGAAGCATGTTTTACATCACCCTGGACTGAAAAGGTGTCAATTTACAAAGTAGCACTTAAATTTGAGCAAATCTTAAATATTAACTTAAATCCCCAACTCTCCACACGGACCATGCAACAGCTTTCTAGAGAAACGTTTAAACAAGACAAAGAACTGTAATTGTGATAAGAAAAATATTTGGAGTGGTCAAGTTGTGGCTTCAAACCTAAAATCTCTGTAAAACATGGTGGTGGTAGACTCATGCTACCACCACCATGGTAGCATGAGTGCTAGTGCATATGGGTTGCTGGATGGATCCCTGAAGAAAGAGGATTGCCTCAAATTCAACTAAACTCATCGATTTCTCAATTTAAACTTGCATAGCTAAGGGTTACAACTACACATCCCTACTGGATTTGGAGTGGATACATTTGGCTAACATTAACTAGCAATGCCCTCAATCTCACACATACTGAATATTATTAAATATGCTTAAAAGCAATTCTGCAAAAAAGAGAACTTTGCAAGACTAATGTGTGGATATAAAAATAGACATTAGTACTCATGTAGAAATATATTAAGCCATATATGTTTTGACAATATGTGGAAATTCCCCATCTAAAAGGAAAAGGCTTCAAATAAAAGGCCTGAAATTCAAAACATTTCTGATGGCGAGTGTACGGTATGTAAACCTTACACAAACATTGTATGAGCGGATTTTATTTGCTGCTGATAAAGCAACAGATACAGAAGTGGTCTTCTCCTCAGAACCCGCCTTTCACAGGCTTCTGTAGCCAAGAGGAAAGTTCACTCACCCAATCTTTGGAGACCAAATTGGCCAAAGCCTTTTCCTCTGACAAATCCCTGGTACACAAAAGCATTGGACGAGGAGATGTAGGACACCTAGTGAGAGAGGAATGGAGAAGAGACATTTTATGTGTCACGTCGTAGCTGTACAAAGGGGAGCACCATCAAAGTGTCTGCACTTGGTGCATGCAGAAAATGAAACATTGTGTCAAAAAGAGCTGAGAGGGACTGCTATGGCTGGCACTTCATGTGCCGTTTTCCTGCTCAAGATCACAAACAAACGCACTCCTTTGCATGGCACACAAACAAGAGATCCGCACAAGAGAAAAAAATTAACCATTAACCATTAAAGAAACCATTAAAACACTTCTGTGCGCATCTCGTAAAGTAGCACATAAAGGCACTCGGATTCACATGTACTGTGACCTGTTTTTTTTTTTTGTTTTGTTTTTTTTAATTAAATCAGAAGGGTGCGTGTGTGTGTGTGTGTGTGTGTGTGTAGGTGCCTGGGGTTGGGGGGTAGTACGGCAGAGAGAAGTGAGGGGGTCTGTCAAGTCCTGATTACCGAGCAATGATTTAACTGACATTTTAATTAAAGAGAAAACTCTCAGTGGGCCCTCCATCTCCCTAGAGTGACAAGGTTAGTGTGGATGTATGCTTTGCGCGCGGCTCACTATGAAGATGTGTGTTTAAGTGTAAGATGTAACATCTTTACAGAGACAAAGGAAGATGTTGTAATGAAGCCGACTTCAGGCTTGCACTTACATGTCCGTCCAGGGCCCAGTTGTCTATTTTAAACTTGTTCACAAAGATCTCCACAGGACCTCTGATCTGGTGAACTTGTAGAAGCAGCTGAGCTTCCTCCCTCTTATACGTTCCTGCAGGAAAAAAAAAAAAAAAAAAAAAAAAAAACCACAATGGGAAAAAAAATTTTTTTAAAAAAAAGGATTTCCTTTAAAAAAAAAAATAAAAAAAAA